GAATGTAATCACCCCCCCTGCCATGTTATTGGCTTATGTGCACCAAGCTGATTCAGCATTTAATGTAGCATCAAATCCATAGTTGTTTTGATTCTATAGATTTTTTTCAAGTGTCTTTTTCTATATTTTTACCAGTCAAATTAATTTCCATAGCCAATATAGTTCGAAAAATTTATAGTCACACAAGACCATATCCTCCCATAAAGTCATAGTCACACAGGACCATATACTCCCATAGTGAGTATTTTTCTGAAGAGACTAAAGATTGAAATAAATCTCACACTCTGTGAACAAGTACAAATGACGTGTTTGTGAATTAGCAGTGTGCTCTTAACAATGGAGCCACTGTCCAGTCCCCACAGCTTTTGAAGTGTGTATTCACTAAGGAATGGCTGTGATTGATAAATGCTGTAAGACTACCAAAGGGATCCGAGTTTAGTTCCCAAAACCTATGCTGAGTGGTTAACAACCCACTTTAATGCCAAAGCAAGGAAACTCCAATGTCTCTAGCTCCTACATGCACCTGCAGTCATTAATACTCTCTCTCTCTCTCTCTCTCTCTCTCTCTCTCTCTCTCTCTCTCTTCTCTCTCACACACCATTAAATATAAAATATAGTAGTATTTTTAAAGTTGTGAATTCCATCATAAAGTTCTGGTTCCATTCATGATTTCTGTCACCAAAGCTCTCCTTTTTCTAATAACAGCAGCCCCCTACTGCTTGAAGCAAGATTTGCAATCTCTCCATGTGCTGACATAGTCAGAATCTTTCTTCACTGAACATCACTGAATGAAGTAGGTAAATACAGACTCTGCCTATATCATAGGAGGCTAAGGTTTTCTTTTTATTCCTAGTGTCTCTTGATTCTCTGGATTTCTCCACTGCCAACTAGAAAACTATATGTTTCTGAGTACAAAGTGAAACTGCACAAATTTAGGAGGCAGAGAGGAGGTACCAGACATTGTCTTCCGAAGATCATCATTGATCAGGGATGGTGAAAGACACTGAGTACTGTGTAGATGGAAACAGAAAAAAACAAGAGCAAGTGCATGGTACATGGTACATAAGTGACCACCTCTGCAATACATCTCAGAAGCTAAAGATGCTGTGTAACCTATCACCAAACAACAGAGTACAATCATGAAATTCATTGCAACTAATAGTAAGTATAAAGCTGCAGTCTTTAAGGTCTTAAGGATTTAATGACTTGTCATTACCACATTTGTCTCCAATAAAAGATTTTTGCTTCCATCTAGCCATAAATAATTTAATCCTGCAGATTCTTTCTATGTATTTGTCTGCTAGGACCTCAGCTGTGTTAAATCTTTTCACTGAATTATTCTAGTATCCAAACTTGAAAGGGACATTTGAGTGCAAATTCTTTAATAGGAAATATAGGCACTAATGAAAGAGGGGTGATAGAGGGCCCATAAAGGGTATGAAGGCACAGTGGCTCTTTCATACTACTGACAAAAGTGAAAATTAGTAAGAGCATCTTCAAGAGCAATGTGACAACCACAAGCAGTTTTTATAACATTTATTCATTTACATGTCTGTGCACATATAAGAGTGCATGGAGGAATCAGAAGACAACGTGGCAGTCAATTTTCTTTGTCCACCACTTGAATTCCAGGGACTAAAGTCAGGTTTACAGGGTTGTTAACAAACCCCCTCACTTAATCAGCTATCTTGATGAACCTCATGAGAAAATATATATATCAGAGCAAACCACTGAGTGTATAAATCTCTTCCTCTAAACGGGGAAATAGTTAGAATTATATTCCTTGTAGGGTCTTTATGATAAAAGCATGGAAATTCCTCCTAGAATAGAGAGTTAAAAAAATCTCATCTCCTTCACGGAAAACCTAGGTTGCTTTTCTAACTGTCTTCTAGAAACCAGGTAAAGATGAAGGTCAACTGCATCACCGTGAACACTGATGTAGCAGCATGAATCTAGTTCATAAGCTGGAGCAGGACCGCGAAGGAATTGTGAATATTTATTGTATCTCAGTGACTGTTGTAGCTGTGACAGTAAGTATTGGTTCCTGTTTGCAGCAAACTCCTTCTAAGTCTGGGTGGCCTGTGGGTCTTGGTCCTTCTTGGCTGAACATTGACTTGGGAGAAAAGGTGGCAAAGGTGAATGACGGAAGGCTAAGCTCTGCAGAGGGGAGAAGCACTACCTTGGAAACATGACTGGTGGTGACTATTGGCCCTTGTGAACCTGACTTCTGACTGAGACTTCTATCACTTCTGTTGGCACTGCCCCACCCAATTACCCATCCAAAGTGACATATTACATGTTCCTGAATTGAGAAGATGTACAGCAGTTAAGAACACTGAAAGAAATTGCTACACATTTTCCATGTCTCTGAATTATTTTAGTAAAAACAGCAAACCTCACAATCATACATGCAATATTTTATTACTGACATATATTTTAAAATCACAGAGTTACATTATATTCACATACACATATATAACACGTCAAAGAACCCTGATTGCTCTTCAAGCTGATGAGGGAGGGGTACTTGATCGGGGGAGGGGGAGGGAAATGGGAGGCGGTGGCGGGGAGGAGGCAGAAATCTTTAATAAATAAATTAAAAAAAATAATAAAAAGTACAACCCCCAACTCCAGATGTTTGTTATAATTTTGTATGTCTATGCAATACTCCCACTACCAAGATAAATGGAAAACTATAATTGGTAGTTATTATCTTAATAAAATACACATTTTGAATTGAAAAAAAAAGAAATGCAAATTTGGGAAAAGTGATGAAAGGAAATAACAATGAGGAGAAAAGCAAGAACAATTGCAACTTAATTGGTAAATGTTTTAAATTTTAATGGAAATTTTATATTTGATTATAACTATATTAATTTAGATAAATACACTAAAAGAATGTCATAATTTCTCAAAAAGCAAATATAACTGTCTAAAGCTTTGGGGCTTTCCACTTTCTCATTTGTACATTTCTGGGACATTGGTGACACTTACTGAAGAAGTAATAATACTGCAATTCTCACACATGATCGTGTGCTTCAGTTGTACAAACAGAATTTCTTTGAGGTCACAGCTGCTCTTGCTCCAGCCCTGATCAGTGAGCAGCAGAAAGGAAACGCTTTGGTGAGCCATCCTGCTTCCCATAATAGTCTGTCTCAAATGAACCTACAACATGTGGGATGAGAGGCTGCAATCTTGGATGTAGCCCCTTGCAACTGCACAAGATTCCTCATCCCAATCTCTCTATAAATTCCAGGTATTCCCTTCTTCCTGGCAGACCCCCATTTCCTATGAGAGAGCATCTGCCCCTCACGGAAATAGTTTCATCTGTTGAGGTCAGACTATGGTTCTTCCCTGTCTCTGTCTTTTTACTCTGTGCTCACAATCTAAGAAAGCAGCCATGGGCTGGAGCACGGATGGCATCACAGCTCCCATTCCAGTTGCTGTGACAAAAGAGCCACCCTGAGCATGATCAGAGGGAAGAGAATTCATTTGACCTGACAATTCCAGGTTACAGTCCTTCATAGTGGGGAAGTCACAGCAGCAGAAGCTTGAGTGAACTTGTCGCATCGCACCCATAATCGGGAACAAAGAGCCCAGAGTGCTTTCGTGCCATGCTCTACTCGCTCTCTCCATTCTACTCAGTGTGCAGGGCCAAACTCTGGAAATGGTGCTGACATGCTCAAACTGTGTCTTCCCAGGCCAACCAGATGAGTCCTTGCCACGGACGGCTTAGGGGAGCCACTCAGACCATGGGAGAAGCAGGGTCTTGGTAACAGGAAGGCACAAGTTCAGCGAATGACAGAAAGACACAACACACAAGAGAGTGGTTGGAATCTGCTGCAATTTTACTGAATTTATGTTTTCATTATATAGTATTCAATCAAAGAACAAATCAGAAGGTCATGTATCATTGGCTGGCACAGTATGAAAGCTTCTTTTAGTCACATCAACGATATTTAGGAAAAGTATATTATCAGGAAGAGGTGTTAAACATAAAGCATCCTTAGAAGAGGAAATCTTGTCCTTGGGAATGTAAACCTCAGACAAGTGGTTTCATCTTATGAATAGAAAGTTTCTGTCTCATTATTGCTATCATGGCCCTTCCTCTTTCTAACCCTTTCTTCATTTCATCTAGTGACCTAATCAGTTCTCTGCACCTGCTGAAGTATACTTTTTTGTACCTTCTTATGCAACAGACACTATGGGGGTTGGGATCTAGCAAGTCTATCCATAAAGTTCAATGTATACTATAACAGTCTTGTCCATCAACATTAACTCATCTATTCCCTTGCTCATCATACACCCTGTGTATGACAAAGGTTCTGCTGTAGTCTTTTGTGCTTTCCTATCCCAGAGCTGTTCCTGAAGAGATAATCCTTGTCTTGTAGATATATAGAATATCATTATTATAAAAGAGATTGTGCAAAGCCCATATCCCACTTAGCCAGCTACTTGAGAAACCAGTCTATGCCTCAAGGGCGGCCAATACCAGGCTGTCTGCTATTGACCTCCAGGAAGCCTACTCCCATAGGACACGTAGCTCCCATCTGGCATAATGACATATGTCATGTCACACAGACGACACTGGAGTTGGTGTGGCAAGTCCTTATTCAGATTCTTTTCAGTCTGAAGAGGAAAGAAGTCAACACTTCTCCCTCTAGTGCACACTACAGAGGCATCTGCTATAGTCAATATTTATGTGGAACAGAGTTGTGACTTCATGTCTCTTGCAGATCATCAGTCAGTAGAAAATGCAGTCTACAAAGCAACCATCATGGAAGGAACCGTGTCTCAGTCATTTTATGCTTTTTACCCTGTTATGTCACCTTTCATGTGATTCATGACCAAATGTCTATACAGCACAGATAAGGCACCAATAGCAGAACAAAGTAATGATTTCAGAGAAGTCCAACTTGAAGAAGTAAAGAGTTTATTTAGGTTAGTTACAGGAGCATGGATGATCTAAAGTCAGTCAGCTACAGCTCTCCCCCAGCATCTTACAGGTTTGTGTTCAGCTCCCCCTGCAGCCTCAGACATTGTGCACTCAGAGCACAGAAGTACACAGCCGAGTCACTCCAGTGCACAGAGGTTTTCTTCAGGTGGAAGGAAGAGTTACTCTTCTGAAAGTTAGCCTCAAAGCCATTTATTCCACGAACCGCAGAGCTTCCTGAACGGTAGCTGAGGAGAAGCCGGAGGCCATGGCCAGGGCGCTGCATGTACCAGAAGAGGTAAGGAGCTCCACTGTAGGAATAGCTGCATCTGAGCTCCACCAAGTTTCCTTCAAAGACAGTGACATGGGTATCCAGCTGTGTAACTGACTGTGCTTGGACATCTCCTGCAAAATCAGTGATTAACTTTATGGAGAAAGATAGTCTAACTAAAATTCAAGTGAGAAAAACAGTGAATCGTGTCTATCTACAAACAATTAGAATATTTTGCTTACCCATGAAAAACTGTATCCCCAGGAATGAGATGATGACTGGAAACATGGCTGCGCAATGGAAACACCTCTAGTGCCTTTCTGGAATAGCTTGTCACATGCAAAAAAAAAAATGGTTGCATTTCCCAGTTCTTGAAGACAAAGGGAAAAATGTTGCTTATACACCTTCCTTGTTTAAATGAATGCAAAAAAAAAAAATACAAAAAAAAAACCGTGTAGATGAGATCCTAGTCCTGAGAACTTTCTGCCTCTGACTTTCTTTACTTCTTCATTTATCAGATGTTCTAAGGACTCAGTCAGATACAGGGAGCAACTGAGTTGAAAGTGGGGATCAACTGCAGAAATGAAGGAGGCAGCGAGTCTGTGCAATGTTGCCCTCTGGTGGCCAGTGAAGGGTAAAAGTTCTGAAGCAAATCCATGTGTTCTGTCTAGGGAACCCCTCATATTTCGAAGCTAATCTGTGCTGTGTTGAGTCTTAACCTAATACAAAATAGGCCATGCATAATTGAAAGGCAATTTTCTTTAGAAAAAAATTATCATATGGGAAAACAATTAAATTAGAAGGTCATTACAACTTGAGTATAAAAGCATAAACTACAAGCAGCCCTGCTGCCACCGCTGCCTGAAGCAGTCAAAAGAAATTGGATCTCTAAAGTGTGTTTTGTTAAATCCTGGAAGCCAGCGAAAACTCTACCTTCCCCAGCAATTCCTCATTAGCATTTTTTTTTTTTTTGCAGAGAGCTAGAATAAAAAAATCAATGTGAAGTTCAGTCGTATCTTTTTGGTTAGATGGTTCTTTGTTCTGAGAAGTCCTTCCCAATTTCTACTCCTTACTCTCCCCTCTCCTCCATTTCTTCCTCACCTCTCTACCCCCAGCTCACCTCTTGTTTAACTCAGAACAAACAAATCGTTAGCAATGTGTTTGCCTGCAGATTCCTTCTTAGAGAAGAAGTCTATGCCTGCTCTTAAAACGCACACCTCTAATCCCAGCACTCGGGAGGCAGAGGCAGGTGGATCTCTGGGAGTTCGAGGCCAGCCTGGTCTACAAGAGCTAGTTCCAGGACAGGCACCAACGCTACAGAGAAACCCTGTCTCGCAAAAGCAAAACAAAACAAAACAAAACAAAACAAAAACATTCAAAATCAGTGCTCTCTCACAGTGCCCCTACCATGGCCATCACCTATGCAGACATCTCTGCTGTCAGTGAGCTTCCAATCAAGGGGAGTTCCAGTAGGATATAAAGATAGTGACTTTGATGAAATGAAAACAAAAAGGACACATAAAATACTGGTTTCAAATGTTAATTCTTCTCTTAAAAATGAAACAAACTTATCCATTTCAAGCAGAAGGCACTCCACCTGGAGCCTTTCTTGGTGGAAGAACTGGCCTTTGGGCAAAGAAATGCCCATACCTCAACCACTGACAGAGATACAGAGTATCTGTAAATGGATAAAACAGGACTGTCATATCCTGTCAAGGCAGGGTAAGATAGTTTTAAAAACGTTTCTTGACTTTGAAAATTATATTTCAGTTATGTTAGGCCTTAGCCAAAGTTGGTTGCTTCAAAATTGCAAATGAGGCTTTGGGTGACTGCCCAGGTAGTCAGTTTTCTCTGTCATTTGTTTCACATTTTGGAAGTTTCTTGACTGCACTTCCTGTTTACTCAAGTAATATTGTTTCCCTTCTCAGATCTTCGATGGAGTTAAAGATTAGGTAATTGTAGTTACCTTTTTCATTATTTAGATAAGCTTATTTTCAATACAATATTTAGACTCTTTAAAATAGAATGTTTAGTAAAACTTTTGTTATGTGTTCCTTGCTTAATATTGTTTATTGTTTGTAATTTTATATTTAGTATCTGTTCCTATTGTATATAGTTGTATTGAGTTTGGATCAATCTTGTTTAGACAAAAGGGGGAGATGATGGGGAAACTCTGTCAACCAATCGCATCTAATTAAGGCATGGCAACTTGGACCCCAGGAAGAAAAACTTGGAGGACCCAGATGTGCTCTCTCTCTGCACGGTGCCCGCTGGACATATAAGAAGTCGGAGCTCCCACTCTTGTAGCATGAGTTTTCCCCTTCTAACCATTAAAATGCAATTGTTATTCTTGAGCTGGCCTGGTTATTTATTGAGACGACCAAATCCCAAACAAAAAGGACACATAAAATACTAGTTTCAAATGTTAATTCTTCCCTTAAAAATGAAACAAACTTATCTATTTCTTTTTTTAACATTTTTTATTGAGAAAAGAGAAAAAAAAAACAAATTTCCTCCTCCTCCCAGCCTCCCATTTCCCTCCCCCTCCTCCCACCCTTCTCCCCCTCCCCCCACTCCTCTCCCCCTCCCTCTCCAGCCCAAAGAGCAGTCAGATTTCCCTGCCCTGTGGTAAGTCCTAGGTCCTCCCCCCTCCGTCCATTTCTAGGAAGGTGAACATCCAAACTGGCTAGGCTCCCACAAAGCCAGCACATTACGTAGGTTCAAAACCCCGTGCCATTGTCCTTGGGTTCTCATCAGCCCTCATTGTTCGCCATGGTCAGAGAGTCCAGTTTTATCCCATGCTTTTTCAGTCACAGTCCAGCTGGCCTTGGTGAGCTCCCAATAGATCAGCTCCACTGTCTCAGTGGGTGGATGCACCCCTCGTGGTCCCGACTTCTTTGCTCATGTTCTCCCTCCTTCTGCTCCTCCTTGGGACCTAGGGAGCTCAGTCCAGTGCTCCAGTGTGGGTCTCTGTCTCTGTCTCCATCCATCCCCAGATGAAGGTTCTATGATGATATGCAAGATATTCGTCAGTATTGCTCTAGGATAGGGTCATTTCAGGTTCCCCATCCTCAGCTGCCCAAGGAACTAACTGGGGACCTCGGCTTGGGTATCTGGGAGCCACTCTAGGTTCAAGTCTCTTGCCAACCCTAAGGCGGCTCCCTTAACTAAGAACCGTGCTTCCGTGCTCCCCCATCTAACCTTCCTTCATCCCAATCCTCCCCCTTTCCCAAGCTCCCCCCCATTCTCCTGCTCTCCCCCCTCTCTCCCCATCTCCCCTTACCCCCATCCCACCCCACCCCCAAGATCTCAATTTTCTCCCCGGCAATTTTGTCTACTTCCCATAGCCAAGAGGACAACTATATGCTTTTCCTTTGGTTCACCTTCTTACTTAGCTTCTTTGGGATCACCAAGTGTAGACTCCGTGACCCTTGTTTATGGCTAGAAACCAATTATGAGTGAGTACATCCCATGTTCATCTTTTTGGCTCTGGGATACCTCACTCAGGATAGTGTTTTCTATTTCCATCCATTTGCATTCAAAATTTGAGAAGTCATTGTTTTTTAACGCAGCATAGTACTCTAATGTGTAGATATTCCACACTTTCTTCATCCATTCTTCCATTGAAGGGCATCTAGGTTGTTTCCAGTTTCTGGCTATTACAAATAATACTGCTATGAACATAGTTGAACAAATGCTCTTGTCATGTGATAGGGCATCTCTTGGGTATATTCCCAGGAGTGGTATTGCTGGGTCCAGGGGTAAGTTGATCCCGAATTTCCTGAGAAACCGAAACACCGATTTCCAAAGTGGTTGCACAAGATTGCATTCCCACCAGCAATGGATGAGTGTTCCCCTTCCTCCACAGCCTCTCCAGCAAAGGCTATCATTGGAGTTTTTAATTTTAGCCATTCTGACAGGTGTAAGATGATATCTCAAAGTTGTTTTGATTTGCATTTCCCTGATTGCTAAGGAGGTTGAGCATGACCTTAAGTGTCTTTTGGCCATTTGAACTTCCTCTGCTGAGAATTCTCTGTTCAGTTCAGTGCCCCATTTTTTAATTGGGTTAATTAGCATTTTAAAGTCTAGTTTCCTGAGTTCTCTATATATTTTGGAGATCAGACCTTTGTCTGTTGCGGGGTTGGTGAAGATCTTCTCCCAGTCAGTAGGTTGCCTTTTTGTCTTGGTGACAGTGTCCTTTGCTTTACAGAAGCTTCTCAGTTTTAGTAGGTCCCATTTATTCAATGTTGCCCTTAATGTCTGTGCTGTTGGGGTTACACATAGGAAGTGATCTCCTGTGCCCATCTCCTGTAGGGTACTTCCCACTTTCTCTTCTATCAGGTTCACTGTGTTCTGACTGATAGTGAGGTCTTTAATCCATTTGGACTTGAGTTTTGTGCATGGTGATACATATGGGTCTATTTTCATTCTTCTACAGGTTGACATCCAGTTATGCCAGCACCATTTGTTAAAAATGCTTTCTTTCTTCCATTGTATACTTTTGGCATTGAAGAAAGAAATTGAGGAGTATACCAGAAAATGGAAGGACCTTCCTCGCTCTTGGATTGGGAGGATCAACATAGTAAAAATGGCAATTCTACCAAAGGCAATTTATCGATTCAATGCAATACCCATCAGGGTTCCATCAAAATTCTTCACAGATCTTGAGAGGACAATAATCAACTTTATATGGAAAAACAAAAAACCCAGGATAGCCAAAACAATCCTATACAATAAAGGATTGTCTGGAGGCATTACCATCCCTGACTTCAAACTCTATTACAGAGCTACAGTGATGAAAACAGTGTGGTACTGGCATAAAAACAGAGAAGTTGACCAATGGAAACGTATAGAAGACCCGAATTTTAACCCACAAACCTATGAACACCTCATTTTTGATAAAGGAGCCAAACTTATCTATTTCAAGCAGTACTCAGAAGATTCAGTGATTTTAGATAATCACTAATGATAATGCAGTATGGAGAAAAGACAGCAAAACTCCAGCATCATTTGGTATGGAAAGAACTGAGATGACACACCATCATAGAAACAGTAGACTATAAACCATGATAACAGCTTGACCTAGACACTTTAGTATCCAGCAGTTTTAAGTGGGTGGAAGCTAGGTAGTCTGATGAAGGTAGTGTTGATTGCAGTCAATAGCCATGCCATTCTTCTGATAGAGAAGATTTTTTCTTCGCTCTTCACCTTTAAGACATCTGGGACTAAAAGATTAGCTGTTGAGTCAAAACGAGTAGTATTCTGAGATAAAGGACTCATTTTGCAAT